TGTATGTATGTATGTATGTATGTATGTATGTATGTATTTTTTCTCCTGAAGGTGCACGAGTTGCCATTTTGGCGGTTTGGTCCTACAGATGTTTCAGCAGTAGTCGACCTGGATGGGGTCGTACTCAGTTGGCTGTTCTTCTTCGCCTCCTTCATGGCTTCCATCGTCCTGCTCACTAGTGCGCTCATGCCCGGTGGAGAAGCGCGGCTTCTTGGGCGCAGGTGGAGAGAGAAAAGCGTGAGCATCTGTTGCCGTCCCTGGGGATTGACAGGCTGGCTGGGTTTCATGGCCTGTTGTCTCCTGTGGAACCGTCGTCGATGCACTGGGTGCCTCATTGTGTGGCATGGTGTGCTGGCTTCCTCGGGTGGTCTGACTGGCCTGGCTGAAAAACTGGGCCAGAGTGGGCGAGTTTGGTTTATGTCCCTTGCATTCTTTCTGCAGCCCTTTTGTGAGGATGAGCCGGTCTTGGTCATCAAGGTGGCCGGATAGTCCACAGCCTTTGCATTGAATGGACTTGCCAATCTGCCAGAGAGTGTGGGTGCTGTGGGCTGTGGGCTTGGTGAGCCTGGTTGAAAGGGGCATCAATGCATGTACTGTTTAGGAACTGGTTGAAGAGTTCCTCGTTGGCTCTCTTGTGGATGGCTTGGTTGCATTTGCTGCACTTGAGATAGCCCGTTGTCTCCTGTAATCGGTGAACATCCGGTGTGATGGGATGTTCCTGCTGCAGCTTGAGGAGGGAGGCGATTCGACTGGCTCGTGTGGGTTTCTTGCCAACCGCTCGGCCTGGAGGAAGGTCAGGATCAAGGGTGGGGGCCGTCAGCTGGGCACAGTCTTCCTGCAGCCTTTCCTCAATCATGGCAGCTGTCAGACCTTGATGCACTCGCGTTTGACATGTGTGACATTGGTACCCGCTTCTGTGGGGTTTCCATTGGTGTTTGCCTTGCTGCCATGGCTGTTTGCACTGGTCGATGAGGGCCTTCTTGCGTTGCTTTGTCTTATGTGCAACGGCCCGGCCTGGTTTGGAAGTGCTCCTTGTCCTCATAGATTTTGGCCAGTCTCTCTGCGGCGTGTTTGTAAATGTCGTAGTGGTCCTGGTCGAGTATGTGTTGCCAGGCCTCTTTGTCGGGGTTGTGGATTTGGGTTGCCCTCTCCCAAGCTGCCAGGGCCGCATCACATTGGCGTTGCCGTAGATGAGGTTCATTGCCTGGGGCCTCAGGAGTCTTGTGGTTCTTGTGGCCCTGGGCAAGATCAAGGAAGCCTTTGCGCCTCCGGGTTCGTCCATGCCTCCCAGACTGAGCTGACCTGGACAATCACCCTCGTGGGAGTTTGGATGTATTGCGCTAAGGTCAGGAGCCCTTGGCAGATGGCTCTGGCTTTGGATTGGGCACCTCGTGCCATGCCTGTGATGGTGCCTTTCCTTTGCAGGGCTCCCAATAAGTAGCCGTGCGTGCACAGGGCATAAATCCAGGCCTGGGCTCGGGTGTCTCCAGAGGTCCACCGTCACTGACAGGCCCTGCCATGGTTGGAGAGGCAGGGGCTCCAGGGATTGCCAGCAGCCATGGCCTTCCAGGCCAAGCGTGGTTGTGAGGTGGTCCTGGGCTCTCGTGGAATCCAACCATATGCCCACAAAGCCCCTCAAACGGGTCTTGGAGCCTCTCGGTCCATGGCGCCGGCAGGGGTGTGTGCTTCTGGTGGTGGTGCCATTTGCGCATCCCTTTGATGTGCTTCGGTGTTGCCGGGACCTGACACAAGGGGCATAGCTTGGTGTTGGCGCCCTCTTTGAACCTGATGGCAGCTAGGTTCCAGGTTCGGATGTGTGTGGCTTGGGCTTTGCTAAAGTGCTTGCTGGCTTTCTTGGCCGTGGTCCAGTCAATGCCACTTACAAGGGACTGGCAGTTGCGCCGATTGGCGAACCGGTGTTGTCGCTGTTGTTTGGCCTCAGCCAGTATGGCTTCTTCTACCTGCCACCAGGGTTGGCGGAGATCAACATGGGCTTCTGTCATGAATGCTGTCTCATTTCGATGCCACTCGTAGAGGTTGTTGGTGTGCCAGCCCCATTCATGGGTGGCTGCCATGGGTCCTTTGACATGGTACCACGGGTGTTGTTGCTTCCGCAGAGTGGTTTGTAGCTCCATCCATGCTCGCTCCACATGTGTTATGTGCTCTGGTGGCCAGTGGGTGATGAGTGTGTGGAGGGCTTGGACATGTTGGAGGACAACCTGGTCAGCTGGATCCATGTACCGGTGCTGCTGTTGGTCATAGATCACATCTGTGATGCCTCCCGTGTGTAGTCCAAGATGTGTGGCTAGGGCTTGGCGGAGAGCTTGTCTGTATCTGGGCGCCAACCCTTGTCCCTCAACTCCCCAAAGTGCAACAGGCTGGATGCCTCCTCGGTGTAGTCGGAGCCGTGTCTTCAGGTTGGGGAGCCGCAGGGAGCGCAGCTTGATCCTGCGTTGTTTGTTCTTCTTGAACCGGTTTTGCAAAGTAGCAATCCGGCGTCTTCGACCAGCTTGATGGTCAATGCCAAGGTCTCTCATGACCGATGGATTGGAGGATCATCTGGCCCCAGGCGTTTCTCAAGTGCTCTGTGTGTGGCTCTATCGGTGACCATGAAGGCTGTTTTGTGCCTTGCTTCCCGGAGTTGTTGGCTCAGTTCGTGCCAAGCTGTCACGATCTGGTTGGCCAGTGTGTCCGGGTTGCGATGGCTGCCATCGAAGCCGATGTCATCAACCCATCCATTGAGGTGCAACTCTGGGTGCTTGATCTGGAAAGGACTGAGGATAGGTTGGAGGAAGGCCTTTGCCAAAAGTGGAGCCTGTGGACATCCGGCTGCCACACCTCGGGAGACATGGAACCAATGGCTGAGTTCGGTATCTGCAAGCACAGCCTTTGGGCCTGTGTAGACCTGCATGGCAAACTCAAGGGCAATGGGTGGGTAATCCAGAGCCTGTGCCACCTGTTGTAGTTTTGTGAGGTCGATGGTATCGTAGAAGGTGCTCATGTCCAGTAAAACGGTGATGCCATGCTTGCCAAGGGTCTTGTTGCTTTCCTGTCGCAGCAACCTCTCCAGGGCCACGTGCAGAGCTGTGGCCCCCGGGCGTGCTCGGTCGTAGTCCATGGTGTTGGGAAGATTGAGTTGCCAGCTGTCGAGGATGTTCTTCCTGAGACGACACCATGTGCGATAAAGCACACTGGTCCCTGAGCATCGCATAATGATTAGAATCAATAATTATTGATCTCCAGGTATTGATTTTGGACAGACACATCAAAATCAATATTTTCGCTTTGATTTTTTATTGATTTACATATTGATTATTTTATTGATTTCCATATTGATTTTTTTATTGATTTTTGTATTGATTTTGAAACTCTGTTTTCCAGACATGAACAGATGGATGCATGCCTCCATTTCAAGGCTCAAGCTACATAGCTGGAATCAGCAGTTCCATATTGGTCTTGGAAAAGACAAACCTGGAAAAGACAACAATGAGTGGGAGAGGTGGTGCCAGGCACCATGCAAAGCCATATGTTGATACAGGAATTCTGTATAAATGCTTGGAAAAGCATGAGGGGCTTTTATCTGAGATGGGTGCCTATGAGCACATCTCCAGCAACATGGCCCCTGACCCTAAGGGCTTGCTTCACACAATGCCCCTCTGGAGAGAATCCCTAAGGGTTGAGCCAAGTGGAGAAATCCATAGCCAACCCTTCAGGGCAGCACTGCTCTCCTTCCTGACAGAGAAGCCCAGCCTGAACCATACCAACCACAGTGGTCAGGTCTGCTGCAATCTCAAATTGGACCTGCGTGTAATGGTATGGTATGGTATGGTATGGTATGGTATGTATGTATGTATGTAACTGTATGTAAATGTATGTAATGGTATGGTATGGTATGGTATGGTATTGTATGTATGTATGTATGTGTAAATGTATGTACATGTAAAGGTATGGTATGGTATGGTATGGTATGGTATGTATGTATGTATGTATGTATATATGTAATTAATCACGAAAGCCAGCCGATAGGCAAGGCTTGAGGCAGGAACGAACGAAGTGAGTTAAACGGGGTGTGGGGGGGTGGTCGCGAGTGGGCCAATGTCGGAGAGGTGAACCCAGAGCCTGGTGGGGGAGAGC